CCGGCGCCACAGCGCCAGCATGGACTCGATCGAGCTGATCACCAAGAACTTGCAGGAGCACCTGTCCATCAACATCCTGGCCGACGCGCTGAACCGCCAGGATGACGCGGCCCGAATCTACTGGGGCACTGCGCCGACCGGCAAGCCGCACATCGGCTACTTCGTGCCGCTGGTGAAGATCGCCGAGTTCCTGAAGGCCGGCTGCCAGATGACCATCCTCTTTGCCGACCTGCACGCCTTCCTGGACCACAACAAGTCCACCCTGGACGTGCTGGAGCACCGCTCCTACTACTACGAGGTGCGTGCGCCGCCTCGGGGCCCATGTCGGCGCGCACATGCACACAGATGTCACACGCACACATGCGCACACGCACACACGCACGCACACACACACGCGCGCGCCATGGCACCCTGCACCGCCGTCTCCCGACCACCTCGACTCACCCCCGCCCGTCCGCAACACACACCTGCGCGCGCGCGTCATAACACCCCGCCCCCGCCGTGCCCCCTCGGCCCACGACACACACACACGCAGCGCGTCATCACCCAGGCCCTCGTGTCCATCGGCGTCCCCATCGACCAGCTCACCTTCTCGCGCGGCATGAGCTACCAGCTGAAGTCCGACTACTCGAAGGACGTGCTGCAGCTGTGCAAGCTGGTGTCGCTGGTGGATGCCAAGCGCGCCGGTGCCGAGGTCGTCAAGCAGGTGGACTCGCCCCTGCTGTCGGGCATGGTGTACCCCCTGCTGCAGGCCCTCGACGAGCAGTACCTCCTGGTGGACGCGCAATTTGGCGGCGTGGACCAGCGCAAGATCTTCACCTTCGCCTACATGTTCCTCCCGCGCCTGGGCTACCGCCGCCGGGCGCACCTGCTCAACCCCATGGTCCCCGGGCTGCAGGGGGCCAAGATGTCCGCCTCGCAGGCCGACTCCAAGATTGACCTGCTGGACTCGCGCGAGACCATCTTCTCCAAGATCGCCACGGCCCAGTGCTCCCCCGGCGAGATCGAGGGCAACCCGCTGCTCTGCTTCGCGCAGTATGTCCTCTTCCCGGCGCGCGCCCTGAACCCGGCCGGCGGCCCGGTGACCCTGGCCCCGGCGGCCGGCGGCGCCCCGCGCGCCTTCGACACCTTCGACCAGCTGCGCGACGCCTTCCAGGCCGGCGAGGTACGCCCGCCCGCCCGCGCACACACACACACACACACACACACACGCCTCGGCACCGGTCCGGGCCATGCCGCCCCCTTCCTCTTGCTGCTCCCCCCATGTGCTGCGCTCGGACGTTGCAAGGCACTGACTTTCCGGCGGCGGATGGGGATCTCCCCCCTCTTCCCCCTCCCTCCTCCTCCCCTGCCCCGGCCCACCATAGGTCACCCCCGACGACCTGCGCGCCCTGGTGTCGACCGGCATCTCGGACCTGATCGATCCCATCCGCGAGCAGTTCACCGGCGACGCGCGCTGGGCCGAGTCCGAGGCCAAGGGCTACCCCACGGCCGAGGCCACCGGGGCCGCCCCCTGCGACGACCTGCTCGACGAGCTGGCCGCCATGGACTCGGGCAAGATGACGGCGGAGCTGGTGGCCGCCGTGGCCGAGTGGAAGGCCGGGCGCACGGCCTCCTCGGATCTCGGGCCCCTGCGCCGGGCCGTGGCCCCGGCCCTGGCCCATGAGTATGCCCACCGTCTGGCCACGGCCTCCGGCGACCGGCTGGCCGCCTTCCGCGCCCGGCTGGCCGATCAGGCCCAGCTCCGGGCCCTGGTCCAGAGCGTGGCCAGCTATGTGGCCGAGCAGCCGGCCGCCGCCGGGGCGGCCGAGGTGGATGCCACCGCCGCCGGGCCGCTCGGGCTCGGGTCCGTGGCGGCCCTGCTGACGCAGCTCCTGTCGCGCCTGCAGCCGGTGGACACTGCCGCCGCCGCCGCCGGTGGGGAGGATGGCGCTGCCGGCCTCTCGGCCGTGGCCGCCGTGCAGGGGCCCCTGGCCCAGTCGGTGGCCGACATCGGCGCCAAGGCGCCCAACTGCGACTTCGTCGACATCGGCCGGACCCTGCTGGCCGACATGGCCAGCCTGGCCGGCCTGGTGGAGCGCATTTCCGCCAACCTCACCGACGCCGACCAGGTGGCCCCCCTGCTGCTGACCCTGTGCGTGCAGCTGAAGACCCTGAGCACCAACCTGAACAGCATGCGCCCGGCGTGCGATCAGTCGCTGTCGAAGTCGCGCGCGCGCGACTTCAAGGCCAAGCTCGACCAGCTGGCCGCCCTGGCGCAGGAGCTCCTGCCCGGGTGCACCCTGCTGGCTGGGCTGCTGCAGTGTGTGGCCGCGTGGCTCGGGGCCGCCCGGCGCCTCGGCACCGAGGGCACCCTGGCCGAGGTGGCCGGCCAGCAGCCGGTGCCGGCCTTCCTGGCCGCCGTGAATGCCGACCTGCTGGCCTTCCTGGACGGCTCGTCGCAGCTGATCCTCACCTTCCCGGCGGAGCTGCTGGCCCAGATCTTCGACGTGGCCAGCGACCTGAACACCGATGTCAGCGCCTTCATCGACACGCTGGACGCGCCGTTTGTCGGCTTCCTCAGCGCCGCCATGGCTGCCCTGGAGGCGGCTGCCTAAGCAGCGCGCGCGGGGGGGGCGGTGTGTATGTTGTTGTTGGTTGTTGGTTGTTGTTACGTGCACGGGCCTGGGCCTCTCCCTCCCTCTCCCTCTCCTTTCTCGCGGCCGATGCGGTGTGTGCGTGTGTCGATGTCACCACGCGCCTCCGCCGTCGGTGCGCGTCCCTCCCGCCGAGCGGGGCCCGGCCCTCCAGCGTGCGTGCGCACACACGAGCAGGGGTCTCCAGTCGGAATGACGGGCCCTCGGAAGAGAGAGGGGGAGAGGGATGCACAGACACGCTGCGCCGATACAAATATACATAGCTACACATGCACACATGTACTGCGCGCCAGCAACCAGCCCCTGGTGGTAGGGGACGGGGGGCTGGTCGAGCGAGCTCTCTGCCTCTCTCTCTCTCGGTCCTGGCGGAGGGTGTCGGGCAAAAAATCGGGCGCGGTTGGACCGCGGCTCGATCACGACCTGACCACGCTCGGGGGAGGGGAAGTGCCCCGGGGGGTGGGGGGGGGTGGGCGGGCCAAGAGGGCGGGGCGGGGATCTCATGCACCCGGCCGAGGGCCGTATATCCCCGAGTGGCGCCCCGCAGCCGGGCCAAGGGGGGGGGGGGTGTTTCAGATCGCGCCCCGGCCATCCTCGCCCCGCCCCTTGCCCATCTTCTCGCCCATCCCTCTCCCATCCTCTGGCCCCTCCCTCTTCCTCTCCCATCCTCTGGCCCCTCCCTCTTCCTCTCCCACCCCGCTATCCCCCCCCCCCTGCTGGACAGCGCACACCACCCCTGGCGCGCCATGCGCATCCCGCCGGGGCTCCTGCCCGGCATGGCCGACGGCCGGTACAACAATGCCCACCTAAAGACGGTTCTCAGTGGCCGGCCACAGAGCTGCGTCGTCCGGCGTGTCGAGGGGCAGTCCAGTCGCCCGGCGGCGGATTACGCCCTGGGCCTGCTGCAGCGCCTGGTCGAGGACACGAAGCGCGTGTTGGAATTGCGCGGCTGGCATGTGGGCCTGCTGAAGGAGTTCTACCCGAAGAACCCGCAGCTCCTGGTGCGTGCGACTCCCCAGAACAGCGGAGGGGCCGAAATACCGACCGCCCCGGTCTTGTCTCTTCGTGTGGCTCCCCCTCGATCGGTGGGGTACTGGTGATCACTCTCTGACGTGCGGCCTGACCTCGCTCTGTGCTCCGCCATTTTCTCCTCTGCTGCTGGCGAACTCCACTCAGGGGATGAACGTCAACTACGGTCAGACGATCCTCATTCGCCTGCGGCTCCCCGGCCGGGACAGTGCCTTCCTGGACTACGAGGACATCCTGGAGACCATGCTCCACGAGGTGCGCACCCTGGTGTCCCCCACCGCCCGCCCGACCACAGGGAGGGCGGGCGGAGCAATCCCGCCTCCTGCCTCCCATGAGGGGCTCCTCCTTCTCGGGCGTGCTTCCCTGCGTCTGGGCCCCTCTTTCTCACACACACACACACACACACATACACGGACACGCCTTTGGCCCTCTGGTCGCCTGCGCGCGCATGCGCTCACTGCACCGCCATCACCACCATCACATCATCGCACGCACATGCAGCTCGCACACAATGACATCGGCAAGCATGACGAAAGCTTCTTCGCTCTGTTGGAGGAGCTGCGCTTCGAGTGTGCCGCCGCCCGCGGGACGCTCGGCTTCTCGGTGGTCGCTCCGCGCGGCCGCGACCCCGGCACCCTGACGCCGGTGAGTCGACTGCTGTCGGGCAGCGGCGCGGCCGGCGGGCCTGGCGCCGCACATGCTGACGCGCCGGCGGCCGGCCCGGCCCGCGGGGTGCGTCTTGGTGCCACATCCAAGGCACGCCCGACGCCTGGGGGTCTGTCGGCCCGGCAGATGGCCGCGGCCGCCGCGCTACGGCGCTTTGCCGCGACCACCGGGTCGGCGCCCTCCGGCCGCCGGCTGGGCGGCCCTGCCAGCGAGGCGCATGCACGCTCGCCGGCCATGGCCGCGGCCGCGGCCGCGGCCCGTGCCCGCTATGGCCCACCGATCGGCGTGCCGGCCCCGGCCGAGGCGGAATGCTGCTCGGCCGACCGCCAGGCCGAGGCCCTGGGCGGCATCAGCCTGCCGGATCTATGCGCCCTCATTGACCTGACGCAGGAGGAGGCCGACGACCAGCCGGCCGGGCGAGACCCCCCCAGGCAGCCGGACTGCCGGGTCGAAATGGCCGCGGACCCTGTGCCGGTGGGCCTGGTCGTGTGTCTACTCTCTGACGAGGAGGATTCCCGGTCGTCGCGCTGAGGTGCAGCGTCCCCGTGGCGTGTGTCATGAAAAGCTGAAAAGAAAAATATAGCCAAAAAAGTAACCAACCCTCCCGCCTCCCGTGTGTTTGTCTTGGCGCCTGTCTCTGCGCCTGTTTCTGCGCCTGTCTCTGCGCCTGTCTCTGCGCTTGTTCCTGCGCTTGTTCCTGCGCTTGTTCCTGCGCTTGTCTCGGCGCTTGTCTCTGTCTCCGTTTTTGGATCTGTTCTTCTTTTTCGCAGGGGAGTCTCTCGCATACACGCACACTCGATGCACGTCACGCGCCAGCGGAGATTGGCAATGAGGAAGAGGCGAGCACATTAAGAGGGGGGGGGGGGGGACAAACCACAGTGTTGTTGAAGGGTTTTCGAGTGTATTATGATGTGTTTGGAGGGGCCTCCGCGCACTCCCTCCATCGAAGCGAGGAACTGGTCTGTCTCGTGGGGTAGGGTAGGGGGAGAGGGTGGGGAGGGAGTGGTGCTTCTCACGCAGCAACACGCGAACGTGTAGACACACAGGAGAGTGCACACGCGCGCGCGCGCAGGAGGGGGCTCGAGGAGAGTGGGACACCTGGCGTCATGTGCACATGGCGCGTGGTGGGAGGCAGTGATGGCCATGGCCAAGGGTCATGTGCCCCCGATGCCTGGGCCCCATCGGTGCGTGCCCTCTCGCCCTCGAGCCTAAGTCGGGGGGAGGGGGGTCCGCGGGAGGAGGAGCCGCATCACCCTGCCATCTTCTCCTCCTGGCCCTCTCTTCGGGGAAAAGGGAGCGCCCTGGCATGGGCGAGGGGGGGGGGGGGGGCAGGGCGGGGGAGCTATCAAGGAGGAGGAGGAAGAAGAGGAGGAGGGGAGAGAGAGGCACACCAGGAAGGAGGCGCAGCTCTCTAGAAAAGGCATGTGCCATGCTCTCAGGTGGACGCGGGGACGGTGGACGCCTCGGCCTCGGCACGGAAGGCCGAAGCAGCGGCCTCGGCAGCCGCGTCGTCGGCCTCGGCGGCCGCGGTGGCCGGCTCCTTGTCCTTCTTGGAGGACTTCTTGGAGGACTTGCCCTGCTTGGACAGCTCCTCGCGCTCGAGCTTGGCCTGGTCCAGCTCGCGCTTGATCTGGTCCTCGAAGGCGCGGACGTCCTCCTTGCTCATGCCGAGCCAGCGGTCCATGTAGCAGAAGATCTTGCGGTTGAACTGGAGAAGCATGTTGCGCTGGAACTGCGTGTGTGTGTGGGGGGGGGGGGGGGCATGTGTGCGTCCGCGCGCCCGCGCATCCGAAGGTGTATGGCCGGCATGATGATGGGACAGGCACAGCCAGCGACATTGCCCCCGGAGGGGAGGGGGGGGGAGGGGGACGAGAGGCCCGGCAAGAGGCATGGGAGGTGGGTGAACCGAAGCGCGTCAGCACATGACCGGCACAGGGGGGGGGGGGGTCAACCGAGGCGCGCTTGTGCACACATGCACACGCGTGTGAGGCGCACGCACGTTGATCATGTAGTTCTGAACCTTGGTCTCCAGGCCGAAGACGTTGAACTTCATCTCGACCAGCTTGTAGGCGGTGACGACCTCCGCATCATCGGCCAGGGTCTCCAGCCAGTCGGGCTTCAGGGGGGAAATGTTGGCACGCTCGCAGCCGACGAGCGAGGGATCGGACGCGGCATCATACGACTGCTTGTCCAGAAGGGGAGGGGACACGTCAGAACCGGCACACACACACACGAGGGTACCCGACCGATGGCGGGGACCGGCCACCGGGATGCACAGGCCCATGGGGATGCCCCCCGGGAGGAGGGCGGTCACATGGCGGCGAGGGGGAGAGAAAGAAAGGCCCACGCATGGCACGACGCACGTCGGGCTCGACCTTGTCGGTGACGATGTTGATGTAGTCGACAACGCGGTTCTTCAGCCGGCTGCCACTCAGGTTGTGGGCCTGCAACCGGTGTCCACACGATCGCGGCCCGGCAGCCGGGACGCCGCAAGGGGAAACAGCCACGGGAAGGCACAAGTGTCAGATGAGCAGGGACCGGGTGCATGTGGGCGGAGGAGGGGGGCAGGAGATGCGCCACGCGGCCATCCGCCCGCGGGACGCACATTCTCCTGATGGCCCTTGTCGGCCGCGTGGATGGTGGTGATGGTAAGCTCGAAGCGATCCCCGAGGAAGGGGTTCTTCAGGACTGGACACACGTGTTAGCCATGGCTCGCAAGGAGGGGGAGGGGGGGAGGGGGAGAGAAAACATGGGACATCCCTCCGACACGGTGGCCGGGGGCGTGGCAATGGAAACGCACCGGTCTTGGTGTAGGGGAAGCCGTTCCAGGCGTCCTCAATCAGGATGAGCGAGCTGGCCGGAGCCAGGACCTGGACATACTTGGGCACACGACTGCGCATGCGCACAGCCGGGGCAGGACCGGGCCCCGGGCACGAGGAGGGCATGACAGTTAGTCACGGACTAGACGCGCGCGCGCGCGCGATCGGGAAGAAGAGGCGGCGCGCGGCCGGCCGGGGGGCCGCGGCGAAGGGAGACACGCACGTGCCGAGGTGGTAGATCTTCTGGGTGTACTGGCCCTTGCCGAGGACGGGATCGTCATAGGGCTCGTTCTTCAGGATCTCGACACCGGCATCGCCGGAGGTCTCCTCCTTGGACATCTCGGCCACGCAGAAGAGCTGCGCGATGTCATACTGCAGGCAGGCCGGCGGCCGGCGAACGGGATGCGGCAGGGGGAGGGCGCCGTTAATGATCACTCCTCCCGGGTGGCATGCGGGTGGTGTGGATGTGTGTGCGGGGAGGTGATGGCAGGCCGCATGCGGGGTGCTTCCTGGCGGGTGCGCGTGCATGTGGAAAATACGCACGTTGTCAAGGGAAATGGGCACCGGGATGCGGCTGACAGGGGACCAGGCGCAGGAGGGACGACGAGCACGGGTCAGCCAAGGGGAGGGGTGAGGGTGAAAGGGGGGGCCGAGCAGGGGGGCCGAGCAGGGTGTCCAGCGCGAGTACGCACAACTCACGAATCATCACCATGGTTGCGATGGGGCGATGGAAGGCGGGCGGGGGCGCGGGGAATGGGGGGGGGGAGGAGGCGCGCGGAGGGGGGGGGGGTGGGGCGAGGATCGGGAGGGGAAGATCGGGGGCGTTGCGCGATCCCGCCGGGGCGGCGAACCCCCCCTCGACGGCCCCCAAAAAAAGTCCCCCCCTTGTCACGAGCCGGGCTGCCCGCAAGCACAAAGGCCCGCGGCTGCTGGCAGACACTCGCCCACGCCGGCATCGTTGCCAGCGGGCGCGAGCGGGACAAAGAAAGGCAGCGGGCGGGGGGGGGGGAGAGAGGCAACGCAAGAAAGGGAGACAGCGAGCAAAAGCGCGAGACGGGACGCGAGGGAACGTCGGTGGACGCACAGGCACAGGGGGGGGGACGAGGCCGGAGGCCGCGCCCGCAAGGAGTGGCACCTTGCATGGGTAATCGTCGGGGAAACGACACCGGCCCGTAGCCCCGGCCCGCGCCGGCAAACTAGCGTAAGCTGCCGGGCATGTCTCGCAACGCACAGCCACGGCGCCAAGGGGGGGGGGGCGGAGTGCGCGTGCGTGTGCGCGTAAGCCCGCGCCCAGACTAGATGGGGGAGGGGCACCACGCGCCCGGGCCCCCGGTCGGGCCGAGAAAAGACCGAGCGGTCACACACAGGGGCGCCCCCGCCGCCGCCCGGCCTCGCACCCCGTCCAGGAGGGCGGCACCGGCACACGCACGGGAACCTCACGGCAGCGAACGAGCGCCGGGCCCCTTGGTGGGTGCGCAAGGGGAAGAAAAAAAAAAAACAATAACACCAGGCGGCCCAGGTGTGGGGCGGCGCGCGGTCCCCCAGAGGGGAGCCCGAAGAACACGGCCGAATTCGGGTCATGCTTCTTCCGGGCGAGGGCGCGCGGGGCGCGCGGGGGGGGGGGGGGGGGGGGGGGGGGGGGGGGGGGGCCCGCCGGGGGGGGCCCCCGCCGGGGGGGGGGGGGGGGGGGGGGGGGGGCATGCGCCCGGCCGGCGCGGACAGCCCACGCCGGGGCCGCAGCGGCGGAGAAGGATCCAGCAGGTGGCCGCGGTCAGGTTCGCCCCCCGCCCCCTCGCTGCGCGTGTGACGCGCCTCCGCTGAGAGATCGTCCCGGCTCTCGACCGGGCTCCGGCGTCGGCCGCCCCGGCGGCACACGGGTGCGCGTACGGCCCGGTCCGGCCCTCGCGCCCGCCAAGACGCCGCGAGATGCAGCGGCGGGGGCGGGGCGTCTCCCGAATTCAAACTCCGCCAATTCCAAGCCGCGCCTGAGACGCTCCCGCGCAGGCAGGCGGCCAGGGCGGCCGGCCGGCCGGCGGCGGGGTTGACGAGAGGAAAAAAAGGAAGCGAAAAGGCCCGGCGGTGGTCAGGGGGCCCAAGAAAAAGAGACATTATAAAGCCGATAAATATTGGCCCTCGCACCGAGTTTTCGCATGCCCAGGGAGAGGAGGGGCCTCTGTGGCCGCACGCTCGCGCACATGCTGATATCCATATGCGGCTTCCCTTCCCGCCGTCTCGGCCCCGGGGCCCCGCCCGGAGCGGGCAAGTCCGGCGACTGGGGGCGGAATTTTTTGGACCCCCGGTCGCCCGATGCCCGGCCGCGCCGCCGACAAGGGGACGGGCGCCTGCGGCGGCGCAAGTGGAATGCATTCTCTTTCCCGGTTGTCTCCCCCCCCCCCCCCGGCCCCAGCGCTTGGAGCCCGGCCCCCGCCCCCCGCCCCCCTTCTCCACACCCGAGGGCGGGCGGCAGAAGGCGGGGCACCGTTGGGCCACCTCCACCACGCGTCCCGGCGGGCGGCGGCTCCAAGGCCGGGCGCGGCTCCGGAGAAAAGGCCCGCATTAATTGCCGTCATATTGCCTGCTGCGTTCCTGGCGGCCCAACCGGACCGGGGGCCCGGCGAGCGCGTGCGCGCGGCTCCGGGGCGCCACCGCGCCCACGCGAGGGCCGCGCTGGGCCGGGCCGTCAGGCCGTCGGGTGCCGCGCGCGCACGCACGCCCCCGGGGGGGGGGGGGACAACGCGCGCTGGCGGCCGGCGCCGGACGACATCGCGCGCCCCCGGGCCTTGCGCATGCTCGCTCGCGCCCCCTACCGGGGGGGGGGGATGGATGGGCCCGGCCTTTTTCCCGGGGCCGCCTCCCTCCCCCGCCCCACCACACACATGCACACCCAGACACACGTAGGATGTGCCCCCCGGGGGCCGGCGGGTTGGATGCACGGCGGCCTGCACATTGGCGCGTGCGGCGTTGTCGCAGGGTCGTCGCGAGGCCGTGCAGAGAGCCGGGCGCGCCCCACACGCGGCCGCGCACGCCATGGGGCTCTCAACACGTAGGCCCCCCCGGGGCGGGGGCGGGGGCGGGGGCGGGGGCGGGGACTTACCAGGAATCGTGACACCGCGTCGGCACCCGCGAGGGATGCCCGCGCTGCCCTGCCCCCGAAGACCGGGCAGCTGGTGGCCGGCCGTGTGCGTGCTCGGGGCCCGGGGACGCCCGGCCCGGCCCGGCCCGGCCCGGCCCCCCATTCTCCGCCCCAGGCCCTTGCTGCCGAGCCCTGTGCCGGCCGGCGCGATCCAAGCGCACATGCAGCCCCGCGTCGCCGACCGCACTTCCACGGGCCGGCTGGCTCACGGCGAGGGGGGCGAAGGATGCCAGAACCGGCGCGTGGGTTGACACAACAGTTGGTAGTTCCGTTGCCGCGGCGTCCGTGCAGCAGAGCACGGCGGCCGCCGCGCCGGTCGGCGTGTCCGGGCACCGCCCCACAACTCGCGGCAGCCAACGCGCCGCGAATGGCCTTTCGAAGGCACGCGCGCGCGCCACATGACACGCCCATACCAACGGATCGCACTGTTGTGTGCCGCGCCCCCTGTTCCGTGCGGCTCCCTGGCCGCCAGCCACCCCTCGGGCTCCGTGCTGGCGGGGATCCCCCCCCCCCGGCCGCGGGAGGGAGAGCAGCCCCGCACCGACGACGGTCCCCGCCGTGGCAGATGCCCCCCGCCCCCCCCCCCCCCCCCCGGCCCCCGTGGGGGGGGGGCCCCCCCCCCCCCCCCCCGGCGGGGGAGACACCCCCCCCCCCCCCACCCGCCCCCCCCCCCGGCGACAGCAGGGAGGCCCAGCACGGGGGCCCCCCCCCCCCCCCCGGGCCGGAGCTCTCTCTCTACTCCCTGGCGCAGAGAGTCTAGGAGGGTGTATTGATGGGGGGTGAGAAAAAAAAAAGAAGAAGGAAGGCACGTCCCGAGAGGCGCAGCCCGCTGTGTCGCGCGTGCGAGTCCGGCGGCGTGCCCCCGTCTCTCCGGGCCCGGGTGTTTCGGCCGCGCTGCCATATGCCAAGCGCGCTGGACGACCGAGGAGCAGGTCCCAGAGAGAAGGGCCTACACCAGGGCAGGCCCAGCCTCCAGGGCATGCCCCGCGCTGCGCTCCGCCTCGGCCAGTTCCTGCTCCACGCGGTCCAGGTTCTTCTGTGCATCGATCATCTCTACACGCGAGGGCAGGGCGGGGAGGGAGTGGGCGGAACGGAGGTCAGACATCACCAGCATAAAGAGGCAGGCATCACCCGGAGAAGGGAGAGGAAAGGCAAGGAAAGCGGTGTGTGTGTGTGGGGGGGGGGGGGGGAGGAGCCTCACCCCCTTCCCGGCTTCCTGGGATGGCCATATACGCACCGAGTAGCGCGAGCTCGGCCACCTTGATCTCGCGCTGGCGCGACCGATAGCGCCCAATATACAGCCCGAGGAAGATGATGAGGATGACCCTGCGGAAGGTCATCGGATTGCGCAAATGTTCCCGGTAGATCTCCACCACCTCCTCCTTGGAGTTGGTGACAAACATCTGCCGCATCCACCGGGGCATGCGCACCACCGAGTGCGAGGGAAGCAGGATCCCATCCGGCCGGAAGTCCGGCAGGTGGGAGGGGTCGGTCTTGGACGCGGCGGCCAGCTTCTCCGCGTCCACCGGCGACACGAACGCCGACGGGGGGATCGGCTTCATCATGCTCGGGGTGATCTCGGCCGGCCGCGGCTCCAGCCGGATGCCGGCCACCCGCGGCGGGTACATGTGCAGGGCCGCCGCACGCCGGGTCATGCTATCCGGCGGCGGGGCGGTGGGTGCCGCCGTCGCCCCGGGGGTGGTCGCAGCCTCGGCCTCCGGGCCGGCGGCAGCCTCGCCAACCGCCGCCGCCGTCGCCGTCGCGGGCGGCACGTCAGACGTGGTGGCGGTGGCGAACAGGCGGAGGGGGGCCACCGCGATCCGGCCACCCGCCAGGGGGAGCCGGCCAGGCAGGAGGGCGCTCCGGGCAAGCATGCTTCAGAGAGGCGAGGGGGGGAAGGGCAAGAAAGAGGCGAAAAGATCCGACGGCGTGCTGGAGTAAGAGTAGGAGGGGGCGGGGGGGGGGGGGGGGAGAGGGGAGGACGGGCACGGAGTGCCGTGGCCTGGCGGCCAGGCGGCGCCGCGGTGGGCGGACTTGTGGACACCTCGATCGGCCGGCCACCGGGAACATGTGCGCCCGGGTGTCCGTGCCGCGGCGGCCACCCCGTCCCTGGCAAGAGGCCCTGTGCCAGCACGTTGGGGAGGGGGGGGGGGCGGGTCTGGGGTCCTCCCCCTGGGACCCAGTTGCCAACGGATGCCGGTCGGCTGCCGGTCGGCTGCCGGCGCGTCCCGGGCCGATCGGCCCGAAAGTCACCCTGGCGCCGGCCCCCCTCCCCGTGGCCGGGCCGATCTTCAGCACCCTCCCCCTCTCTCTCCCCCTCCCCGCCGCTCCTTCTATCTCCCTCCCCCCCCCTCCTTCGAGAACAAGGCGCCATGACCAGTCGCGCCATCGGACAGGTGGGCTTCGTGCGCGGGGCCTCCACGGTGGCCCTCGCGCCGCTGGTGGCGAGCCAGCCTCCCCCGCCGGCGGCCGATGCCCTGGCCGGGCAGCTGGAGCGCCTGGCACTGGGGCAGCCCGGCGCCGCGGCCGCCAGCCTCCTCGGCCCGTGGATGGCCTGCACGGCCGACGAGGGCCCCAGCGAGCGGTGGCTCGTTCGCCGCGAGCTCGTCGAGCGCCCGCGTCCCTCGGCCCCCCCGGCCTCGGGCGCACCCCATGCTGGCAAGATCCCGGCGGTGGACCTGGCCAGCGAGGACAGCGAGGCCAGCGACGACGAGGACCCGGCCGAGGCCCGGCGCCCTGCCGGCCCCCCCGGCCCGGCCTCCCACCGGCGGTACATCCTCTGGGAATATCACTGCCTGTATGACCCGCTCTGGCAGGTGCCGGTGGTTTACTTCCGGGCCCTGGACCCGGGCCCGGGGGTCCGCCCGCCGGCCGGCAGCACCTTACGCTGTCTGTGCGCCCTGGAGGCCCGGCGCCTGGCCGGGGTGTCAATCGAGGGGATCCTGGCCGGCCAGCCAGCACCGCAGGCCGCCGGGTCGTGCGGCTGGCCCGGGCCCTGCGCCAAGGTGTCCCCGGGGGCCGGGCTACTGGGCGGGCACCTGGCTTGCGCCTGTGTCCGGGAGTGGCCCTGGCCCGGGGAGCTCCCCTTCGATCTGGGCTTGCGTCTGGACGCCGCACGGCTTGGCTTCGACCCCGCCGAGCTGACCCCCCTGCATGGGGATATGTATGGGCTGCTGGCCGAGCGCCGGGCCCCGGTGACTGCCGGCAGCCCGGCCAGCCTGGTGTCCGGCCAGCCAACCCTGTCGGTGGAGGTGCGCACGCCGCCTTCGTGTTTTTTTTCCCGCACGCGCGCGCGCGCCCCCTCGCAACATGTGCCTCGCTCTGTGTTGCTGGTTGTGGTGCCTGCCTCGGCCTCAGGTCGCCTGACTTCGCCTCATTGATCAACTCCGCCTCGCCCCCCCCCGTCACCGTGCGCCCCCGTCTCACCTCGCCCATATATAGACGCACCCGTACCTACGGCGCCCGTACTTCATGGTCCACCCCTGCCAAACTGGCCGGCAGATGGCCGACCTGCTGGACGACGCGACTGCCGGGCCCGAGCGCTACATGTCGGCCTTCCTGGCCGTGGCCGCGGCCGGCCTCGGCGGCCAGGCATGCATCTGCCAGTTGACGCTGCATGCCAGCCTTGGAGCTCCGACCGAGCCCCCTGCGTCTCAATAAAGGTGAAGAAACATCAGCCCCGGCGCCATGGCCAAAGGCAGAGGGGCAGAGATGCCATGTGCACATGTATTGTTTTCGTGTGTCCTCCGACACCCCCGGCCGCCACCTCTCGGAGGGCGGGGGGGAGACGGCGCGCTACTTGGCCCCGGGCAGCGGGGCCCAGTGCCCGCCCCGGCGGGGGACCGCCTGCCGAGTGGTCCCCTCACCGGGGGACGTGTACACCGACATCGGGGTGCTGACAGACCCCCGGCCGGGGGCCGGGGCCGGGGCCGGGGGGCCCGCGGCCGAGGCCACCGGGGCCGCCACATTCGCCACCGCTAGCCGGCCGCGGGATTGGAGATTCCGCGCGGCCGTGAAAGCCCCCCGGGTGGGGGCCTGGCAGATGGCACACGTGTTGTCCCCACCGCGGAAGCGCCGCAGGGCACACCGCTCGCAGAAAATGTGCCCGCAGGGGGTCTTCACCGGGGACACGAACACCTGTCGGCAGATGAAGCAAGCGAAGGGGTCCTCCTCGTCGGGCTCCTCGGCGGCCGTCGCCTTCGGGGCCGCCCCGACCGAAGTCCCAGTCAGCGGGTCATACCGGCGCGCCTCATAGTCCGTCATCTCGCCGATGTTGCGCAGGATGTCTGAGCCCAGCACCGCCCGGTCAGCAGGGAGGCCCAGCACGGGGGAGGAAAGGCAGAAGGAAGGGCCAAAGAGAGGAAGAAAGAAAGCCGCCCACAGCCCGCCCGGCCCGCTCCCGGGCATGCATTGCGCCACGCACCCTCGCGCTTCTTCCTCTGCTCGCGGTCCCACTCTTGCTCCAGCTGCCAGCCGGACTTGTAGTTGCTGCGGTCGTGAAGGAAAATGCAGTTGTCTGCCAGACAAACGTCCCGGCGCCAGACACCAGGGCAGGAGGGGGAGTGGGGAACGTCAGCCGGCGCACCAATCAGCCACATGAAGAGGGGGGGGGGGGAGGAGAGCCCCAGCCGCCGGAGGGCATGGGCACGCACCGCCAAAGCCACAGTAGCCCGTCTCCTTGTAGTCCTTGCACACATCGGGCTGATAGTCAAAGCGCACGGTGGACGACAGGTGCGCATTGGCACGCTGGGGCCCGACGCTGAAAGGGGAAAGGAGGGGAGCCAGAGCAAACGGCATGTCGTATCAGTGCCAGGCGTGCGCATGAGCAAATGGAAGAGAGGGACAGGGAGGAAAGGAAAAGAAAAAAAGAAACAAAGAAGAAGGACCCCCGCCCTGGCCGGCCCCCGCCCTCATCGGGTCTCACGGCATACCGGTACTTGGCCCCGTGGGAGGTGCTCTCGGCGTCCACCCGGCCGAGGCCGAACTTGATCATGCCCGACTGGCCGCGGTAGACATTGTCCACCTCGCCCCGCTCGATGGCCTCGCGGGTGATTTGCAGCTGCCGCTGGTACAGGGCCTCGGCGTCGCGATCGGTCTCCGTGTCATAGTCCCGGCCGCTGGATCGGGTCTCCTCGCTCTGTTGCAACGACAGCGGGGCCGCCATGTTCGAGGCGGAGTACGTGTGCAGGACCGACGTCGAGCCGACCGCGTCGTCGCCGCCAATCGGCGCCCGGTCCTCCTCCAGCGGGGTATACCGGGGGGCGATGTCCTGTGTGTGTGTGTGTGTGTGTGTGTGTGTGTGTGTGTGCAGAAGGGGTAAGGGGGGGGGGGTGCGCGCCATTCGGGGGAGCTGTCAGATGCCGGGGCCCGAACATCGGGGCCGGGCAGCCAGTGGCGCCCAGGGAGAGGAGCAGAAAGGGGGGAGAGAGAGAGAGAGAGGGAAACAAGATGTACGTACCCGGGTGGAGATGACACTGCGTCGGGGCCGCTGTGTGGTCCGAGGCGCGAGAATGTCATCATCGCCATCGGACTCGGCACCGAGGGCGGCAGCCGCCGCCTGGGCCGAAGGGGCCGCGGGGGTGTCTGTATCGGGCAAGAGAGCCGGTGTGAGATACCGCGGAGGAGGCATAAGACGCCACGGGGGGAGGGAGAAGGGAAGAAAAAAAATGGGGAGCAGGGCATGTGGCGCACCGTCGGCCGGGTCGTCCTTTTGCCGGGCATTCCGCCGGCCGCGCGCCGCGCGTGCCTTAAATGCGGATGCCGTGCTCGAGATGGACTTCTTGAAGGTGACGCGTGGCGGGGCGTCGGCCGGTGGCGGGGCGTCGGCCGGTGGCGGGGCGGCGTCGCGGCCCGCACTTGGCGGAGTGCCGCCATCTTGCTGGGGGGCCATGGTGGAAGCGTGGGCTGGGAGGGAGGGGGAAGGGAGGGGGAAGAGCCGAAAAGGGAGGAGGGAGAGGCGGGGTGGGTTGTCCCGCAGGCTCTTCCCGGCGAGTGCCCTGGTCGCCGCCCGATGATACCGAGCCGGGCGGACTCTAGCGCACCCACAAACGCAGATCGCCCCCCCCCCCCCTCGCCTCCCTTCGCCCGGTGTCCGGGGGGGGGGGGGGAAGTGCCTGCGGGACGATCGGCGACATGAAGAGGAACACGTGAGAGGAATGCAGTGGCATCTGGGCCCGCACATCACCGGAACCGCGTGCGCGTGCGGCGGTCCCGCCGCGCGCCCGGACCCGCCGCACCCCCTGGCGGAGCTGGGGCCCATGCGTCGAGATGCCGGCCGGGGGGAGGGAGAGATCTCCCCCTCCCC